TGGAAAACACTCACTAAACCCACTGGATACAGAATCCTTTTCAACACTACCCACAACCACTCAAGTCCCTTTTATTTGGATTCTATACAAATGAAACCTTAATATAAGGGCTCTATTTATAAGAGGCCAAATATCCTAATTCTTATAGGAAAACAATATTGTAATCCTTATAAGACAACAACATCCTACTCCCTGTAGGAATTTGTAATAGTGTTGAAAAATTCTTTTCTTCATAGGACATGTGTTTTTCCTGTTTTCTTCCTATTTTCATATATTTTGGTTGTGTTTGGATATTTCTGTGGAAGGGAAAATTATTCAGGGTCTTCAATTTCCCAACAAGTGGTATCAGAGCTGTAAGGTTGCAGCATCATGGGTGACAGATATGAAGCACACCATTATTATGAAGGGGTCCTGAAGTTCACCGGGGAGAATTTCAGTTTTTGGAAGATGCAGGTAAAGGATCTTCTTACATGCAAGAAGATACACAAGACTTTGGGAGAGAGACCAACAGGGATGGAGGATAAGGATTGGAATGAGATAGATGAGCAGGCCGTTGCAAACATCAGAATGTCGTTGTCAATAAATGTTTGTAGTCTGGTGGCAAAAGAGACTACAACAAAGGAGTTGTTGAAGGCCTTGCAAGACAGGTATGAAAAACCTTCTGCTAATACAAAAATACTTCTATGGGCGAAGTATTTTAATATCCACATGGAGGAGGGAACCTCGATGAATTCCCACATCAATGAACTCACCGATATCTTGAACAAGTTAGAAGGGATGGGTGTCAAGATTGACGAGGAGGTGAAAGCTATGAGGCTGTTGATGTTTTTGCCTGACAGTTGGGAGACGATGAAGACCGCGGTGTCAAATTCGCTAGGGGAAAATAGCTTGAAATTTACAGCTATTTGTGATGCCGCCATATCTAAGGAAGCTTGGAGAAAATTAGGGAAAATGTTTGCATTTACTTCAGGGGCAGAAACCGGGGTTGAATCAGCTTTGGTAGCTCAAAACAAAGGGAAGGCAAAGATGAGTTACAATGGGAAACAACAGCAGAGATATAGTAGGTAGTGGGAGTTCCAGTGGAGAAGTAGAGTGTTATTACTGCCACAATAAGGGATACATTAAACGCTTTTGCAGGAAGTTTAAAGAAGATCTTGAGAAGGGGAATACTACTGCAAACGTTGTAACAGAAGAAGAACGGATTGAAGAGTTTCTAGCTTGTGTTCAGAGGAACATATCTGTAGACCAGTGGGTGGTTGACACTGCAGCATCAGAGCACATTGCTTCAGAAAGATGTTGGTTCTCATCTCTTACTGTAGGTGATTATGGCTCAGTGAAGATGGGGAATGGGAGTATCTCCAAGGTGAGAGGAATTGAAGATGTTTGTTTGAAGACAGGCAAAAGGGCCGAGTTGGTGCTACGAGGTGTCAGGTATATTCCTAGCTTCAGATTTAATTTGTTATTCGCAGGGAAGCTAGATGACGATGGCTACAACAGTGAGTTTAATGGGGGTTGCTGGTAGCTCAAGAGGGAATCTAGGGTGGTGGCAACAGGCCACAAGAGATCTTCTATTTATCTGTCAGAATTTAGGGTTGCCAAGGGTTCACTGAGACAGACGATGCATAGAGTAGCTGCAGATGGTTCAGGGCGAGACCTTAGAGGACCAGCAGCATTGATGGCCAGAACAAATTAGAAGAATCTGCTATCAGCTCAAGTAAAACAGTTGAGAAGTACAGAAAAAGGGAAACGGGAATTTGATAGGCCATGAAGTTCATACCTCAGCTGTCAGACGTTCAAGTGAGCTGGAGAAGTCGCATACGCGAATTAGTGCATTGAAGGATACGGGTTCTATTTCTAGTGTGACGACAGACTTGGGTGGGAGCACCAAGTCATTATGGAAATCTTCCTTCAGAGGTCGTTGGGTTCGATCGAGAAAGGAAGTAACGGGGACTACTTAGATCAAGTAGAAGTATGTGGCTGTGTCTTCAAGTCTGGGGGACAAGACCACGTAGGATTGCTCAGTCTCGGGGCAATCACAGACAGATGCTTAGGTAGGGCCAAGCAGTATTGATCAGTTCGTTGATAGAGGAGTCAGAACTGTGTCTTGATAGAGGGTGTCAAGATGATGGAACACTGTTGATGCAGTGGGAGGCAGAGAATTGTCGCTTTATCTCCAAGTGGGAGATTGTTGGGATTATGGAGCCAAAACAGGAAAAACACATGTCCTACAAAGAAAAGGGTTTTTCAACACTTCTTACAAATTCCTACAGGGAGTAGGATGTTGTTGTCTTATAAGTTTTACAATATTGTTTTCCTATAAGAATTAGGATATTTGACCTCTTATAAATAGAGTCCTTATGTTAAGGTTTCATTTGTACAGAATCCAAATAAAAGAGACTTGAGTGGTTGTGGGCAGTGTTGAAAAGGATTCTGTATCCAGTGGGTTTAGTGAGTGTTTTTCATTCTTGTACCTAAGTATAGTGTGTTATAATACTTAGAAGCTAGAGGGCTTTTGTTGGGACCTCTAGGGGATATTTTTGGGGAGAGTTTTGTATTCTAATCCTTAAACAATTATTAGTGAATTACCCACATCTGTGGAAGACTGGACGTAGCCTTAATGGTGAACCAGTATAATTTGTTGTGTCGTTATTATTGTGTTTTTACAATTTTCTTCCTATTTTCATATATTTTGGTTGTGTTTGGATATTTCTGTGGAAGGGAAAATTATTCAGGGTCTTCAATTTCCCAACAGTTTTGAGCGAACTAAAATTAAAATAGTGAAACATTAAGTGTGATTGAAAAAAAACGGTGGAAGGAAGCATATTTTTATAGCAGTACAGAATAAGCTTTTGAAATTCTAAAAGTCGTGAAATTTTTATATAAATTACAATTAAAGAAAAAATTAATTTTACATGGCAGGAAAACTTTTTGCATTTTAACCAAAAATTAATTTTATGTGGTAGGAAAACTTTTTGCATTATAACCTTTTAAATCTAATACATTTTTTTAACAAGCAAAATGTTTTTACTGCATGCTCCTTTTTCAATATAAATAGATAACCTTTTAAATCCTATACATTTATTAGTATTTATAATAAATAAATAAAAAACTCTACACGAAACTTTTTGCATTTTTACATTTTAAATCCAATACATTTATTAGTATTAATAATTAATTTAATATTAATAATAATATATTAATGGTATAGTTTGTAAATTAGTAAATTTAGTAAGGGATCGTTTGTGTCGTTGGGACTCTTCTGTTCCTACTTCAGGTGTGTTTTATGCTGGCATGGAGTCCAGGACCATCTTTTCTTTGAGTGCCCCTCTGGTTGGGAGGTTGTATGATTGCTTGGGTTGGTTCTTCTCATCGCATTTCATATTGGTCTACTGAGCTTGCTTGGATTTGTCACATTAGTACCAGAAAGTCTGCTCGTCGTTGTGTGTGGTGTTTGACGTGGACTTCAGCTGTTTCATTTATCTAGAGGGAGCGTAATGCTAGAGTTCATGCGGGTGGGGTGGGCCAGTCACCTTCTATCTTCTTACGCGCCTTGAAAGCCGAGATCTGTTATCGTTGTACTACCTGACATAGGAGATGCTGTTTGAGCTATGATCCTATGATTATCTCGACTTGGGATTTGTTTTCTTGATTTTCTTATCTTTCTTCTTGTCTTGAGTTTTCCCTTTGGGTGGTGTGCCTTGATCTCGGGCTCTGATATCCTCCTTTTTATTTTGTGTGTTAAATATAACCTTAGCAAAAAAAAAGAAAAAGGGCAAGCGACAAAAGTATAAAAAAAATGTTTTTCCTACCTTCCCCCTTTTTCATATAGTATGAATATAGATATAGTTATGACTATTTTGAACTTTTACGTTTACTTGATTAGTGGAAATAGTTATATAATATTTGGGTGACTCATTTATTTATGTTTTTGTGATATGAATTAGGAAAATGACGTGTTTGGAAAAATATTGGTTTTTTATCGATATAACTTATATGTTAAGAATTATATACGTTAACCTAATAGATAGTTCAGTGGCAATTGACATGTATATAATTTTAAATTGAACTGGTAAGAGAAAATTTGTTATAATAAATAATGTAATATTAATATAAAATAAAATGTAAATATTTTTTAAACTTTAATATAAGAATAAAATTTATTACTATTAAATAGAAAAATAAATAGTAGAACTAAAATTTATTTTAAGTAATTATTATTTTTACTTAAAAAATTCTCTATATATCTTTTTTAGCTAATACATTTTTAAATTAATTAAAATATATAAGGATATTTTGGTAATCATTATTCATATTTATGGAATTGGACAACATGAATTAGTTTCTAACTTTGATTCCAAACAATTTCAAGTAAACAAATATATGAGATAGACTTTTCTTGTACGGACTCTCTATCCATGAGTGGGGAATCCCCACCTCGATACCGTTTACGCTCTCTCTACTCCATTATAATCCCATATTTATATTTATCTCATCCATTCATTGGTTAGTTTTTTATTTCATAGCATTTATTCAGGAAAAATCATAACATCAAAATATTGTCACATGGTCATTTAAATATATACAATGTCCCAAACGATTTTGAAACTTTTGCATTCAAAACAATATAAGAAATTGAACAATTATGGTAGATATACATATGGGCGTGGCTAATATACTTTACCAGCCTTATATTTCTTCTTCACTAGCTAGTGAGCCGTTCTTTTGAGTGAGAAGCGGACATCTCTCACAACCTGTGTGTCTTTTTTTTTTTTTGGTCAGAGAGAGTTTAGTAAACTTCTATTTTTACTTTAGAGAGAAATTTAAGGGAGGTGAGAAGTAAATGTTTTCTTTTAAACCCAAGTAGTTCGGTATAATTAGTTATGGGTAATTGGTGCAAACCGGAGAGGCCTAATAATAAGGAAATTTGAGTGGTGCCAAATTCATAATTTTCTATATAAATACTTCTAATCGCCATCAATACCTTCAAACATACTGAAAAAGATACTAGGCAAAAAAAATTAGAAAAAAGCAAAAAAAGAAAAAAAATAGAAGAAGAACAAGATGGGAATGGAGTTGAATTTGTTGATTCTATCTGTCGTATTATTATTTGTATCAACAACGAAAGCCCAGTCTAGTGATGGCATTTTTGATGTAACCAAGTTTGGTGCTATGCCTAATGCTGATATATCTAAGGTATAAAGAAAGTGTTTAATATTTGTTTATGAGATGGGAAACAAAAAATATGATAAAGACATTGTTAATTATGTTTTAATTTATGTATAGGCTCTGATGAGTGCATGGAAGGAAGCTTGTGCATCACCGATTCAAAGTAAAGTAATTATTCCAAAGGTGGCTTACAAGTTAGGTACAATTGATTTGACAGGCCCTTGCAAAAGCCCTATCGAAGTTCAACTCCAAGGAACAATACAGGCACCAATAGATCTTACCGGAGAAGGTTGGGTTCAGTTTAAATATATCGACCACTTTACATTATCAGGTGGTGGAACTTTTGATGGCCAAGGAAAGGCAGCTTGGGAAAAAAATGATTGTGACAAAAATCCCAAATGCGATAGACTCCCCATGGTACGTGCACTATCATCTAATCAATTTCTTTTTGGTGATTTCCATATATCTTAGTCTATATGTTTATTAATCAATCTTATGGTTAGGATTTTAAAAATCAAACTGTCATCCCATATTTTTTCTCTTAATTAAATGTACGTATGCATGAGAATATTTGTTTGGTATAAATGTGCAGAGTTTGAGGTTTAGCTTCATCACAAATTCGATCGTGAGTGACATAACCTCTAAAGATAGCAAAAACTTTCATGTACAAATTTTGGGTTGTAACAACCTTACCTTCCAACACGTGAATGTCAATGCGCCGGGAGATAGTATCAATACAGATGGAATTCATATTGGTCGTTCTACTGGGATTAATATCCTAAGTACAAACATCGGTACAGGAGATGATTGTATCTCACTTGGAGATGGTAGTAAGCAGGTAACAATTACTAATGTGACATGTGGTCCTGGACATGGTATAAGCGTAGGAAGTCTAGGAAGGTACACTGCTGAAGAACCAGTGGAAGGAATCAGAGCTACGAATTGTACAATAATGAATACATCCAACGGTGTTAGAATAAAAACTTGGCCAGCTTCTCCTACTGCTGGAACAGCTTCTGATATGCATTTTGAAGACATGATAATGGTTAATGTTAGCAATCCCATTCTTATAGACCAAGAATATTGTCCATACAACCAATGTAACAAAAAGGTATTGAAATTTTGGTACTTTTAAATATTTGTTTTAATTGCATTTTGAAAGGTTTAAATAATGCTTAAAGAAACAATGTTATATCTATTGCTTTTCAGAGTCCATCAAAAGTGAAGATTAGTAAGGTTAGCTTCAAGAATGTTAGAGGTTCTTCAGCCAATGCACTTGCAGTCAAACTTGTTTGTAGTGCCGAAGTTCCATGTGAAGATGTAGAAGTAGCTGACATTGATCTCACTTACAATGGAAACGAAGGTCCTATTTCATCTCAATGTAAGAATGTGAAGCCCATCATTTCTGGAAAACAAAACCCTCGTGCTTGTTCTTCCCCTGCTCCACCAGCCTAAGTAATTGTAGAGATGATCATTTGATGTAGAAAATGGTGGAAGATAATCTATCTACACTAAAGCTTTGTAATTATAGAACTTTGTAGCACTCAAGTTTTCATTGGGAAAACTTGTGGTGAAAAAGGGTTTTTCTTCTTCGTATTTACAAATAAAGAGACGTATTATTTGGCGTAAACCTTTTTCTTACTTAGAAATATTTTTAATACATATGATATGATAGAGTTGTTGCCCATTAAAATATTTCTTCTATTAAAAGTTTAGCTAACATTATAAAAATATTAAGTAAATAAATAAATTAGTTCAAGGAGAAGAATTCAAAAGAGTTGTTTTCACAACTTACGTTTTGTAGACACCGTATTTGATCCGACTCAAATTTTATTATGATATTTATTTATTATTTATTATTTTACTTTATTAAATTTTACTGTTTTTGTTAAAAATAACATCATTTTACTTTATTATTAGTTTTAAGATAAAGTTTAAATTAACTTAAATTAAAAAAAAGTTTAGATTTATTTAAAGGTTTTGATTTTATTAATCAGAAATTAAAAATGATTTTGTTTAAATAAAATTTGATTTTATTAAAAGGATTTTGTTTTTTAAATAAAATATTTTTTTTCTAATTAAAAAAGATTTTGTTTTTAAATAAATTTGATTTTTTCCTTGTATTATTCTTCCTTATTTTTCTGCTTCAGAATCAAAGAAGATCTTTTTTTTTTCCTAAAAGCCTAACCTCCTTCATCTCATTCTACAATTGGACCACTTCTACTTTAGCCTTCACTCTTCCCTATTAACCTCACCACCACACCCTCTTCCTTTCCCCCAACCTTTCATACATATTTTTTCTTTTCCTTTGCAAATCCGACGAGGGACCACCACAAATTCCAGGTCTAGTGACGAACAGATTTGATAATATTCGGGCGACTACCCAACATTAGTAGACCGACGACAAGCGGCAGTACAGCAGCGACACTAGTGAGACCGGTGACCCACCTTGACACCCACGAGCTCCCGACGACACGAACGACATCAGTTTTTTTTTATCAAAAACCCGACGGTAGAAATCTCTGCGCAAAAACAATATACCTCTTCTTTTAATAATAACAAAAAAAATTATTTTTAAACAAAACAACTAAAATTTTCCTTTTAAAAAAAATATTTTTTAAAATAAGTTTTGAAAAATAATGTAAATTATTTCACAATAAAATTTGTTTTAAAATAAAATAAAAAAGAGTTTTTAAAATGAAATAAATAAAAAGTTAATTTTGTTTAAATAAAAAATTTTTCTTTAAATGTTGGCTAAAATAAATTGAAAAGAAAAAGAATAAGAGTTTTAATAAAAGAAAATTTTGTTTAAAAAATTAATTAGATTCTTTTAAATTTCAATTCAAAGTTTAGAAGTTGAGTTTTAACATTTTAATAAGGTTTACTCTTTTGATTTTGTATTTTTCTAATGAGTTTTGTCTTGAGTTTTAAAAACAAAAGAGAAGATTTAAAGAAAATACTTTTTTAGAAAGTTGTTTTAATAATAAAATCTTAACTTGTTCGAATTTTGAATTTACAAAGGCATAAAAAGATAAAGTTGTTATAAGGAGGGAATCAAATCTGTTTGGGGAAGGGAATACCCTGGACACGTGGAGGACCCCTATTAGTGCTCCAAGATGGCTCATGAGTCATGCCCAGCTCGGATAGTCGAGGTGGCCGCCACTAACGTCGACAAATGCTAAGTATGAGGGCCGAGGTGAACCTGGC